ATCATAGGATTATATACCAAAAGCACTGTATTGGAAATATGTGTTTTAGCTTTCTGTATGCTTAGGTGCCTGAGCTATTGAGGGTCTAAGTCTGGGCAGCTGAAGAGTGTGGTTAGCGAGATGAACAAAGATGCGCAGACGACAGCAGCAATTAACCAAAAGTTAATAGAAACCAGAGAAAGAAGACCTCAAAGAGTTGCTGCAAGCTAAGTTAATTGAATGTGGCTGGAAGGATCAGTTGAAGGCACACTGTAAATGTAATTAAAGAAAAAGGACTAGAACACTTTACTGTTGATGACTTGGTGGCTGAAATCACTCCAAAAAGCAAAGCCCTGCTACCTGACAGTGTAAAGATGGAATTCCTACAAAGAATTCCTGGGCTGGGGATTTAGCTCACTGGCACCACGCCTGCATCTGCAAGTGCAAGGTCCTGAGTTCGATCCCCAGTACCAAAAAAAAAAAAAAAAATTCCTTGCTCACCATGCCAGCCTTTAAGGTTGAATTACATTGTGTTGTTCTGTGGTTTTATTTCTGAAAGTAAAACTTGCCATAAACTAGAAATCAATTTCCCAAAATAAAATCCTTTTTTGTATGATGGTATGCAGTTTTCAGTAATGATGTATACATTGTATTGATTTTTTCCCCTAAATGTGTTATTTTAATAAATATCTCATGAATAAAAAAAATTTTTTTAAAACCCCGTGTATTTTTATGGTGCTGGGAATCAAACCCAGGCCTCATGCATGATGATCATTGCTCTGCTACTGAGCTACATCCCTGGCCCATTTCTGTATATAATTTCTTTTTTGTTGAGACAGAGTATTGCTATGTAGTCCATGAACTCACTATGCCTTGAACTCACTATGGAGCCCAGGCTGCCCTCGAACTCGTCCTGATCCTCCTGCCTCAGCCTCCTGAGTGCTGGGACTGCAGGCCTGTGCCATCACACCCGGCTTCTGTATATACATTTTTAAAAGTTGGATGCCAGTCTATAGAAAGTGACCCCCTTCTGGTCTGTCCCATCTCTAGCTCTTAGGCAGGTTCAACCAACTCATATGCCTTTTGTAGGGGCTCAGTCTGGTTGAAACCCCAGGTGATGTCACAGAATGAAACAAACCACCAAGCAATCTCCCCACTTAGCTGGACCCAAACTGGCAGTTGGCTTTGTCTGGCTCACCATGGTAGCTCTAAGGGGCCTAGAACAGTGCTTGGCAAATAGTTACTTGATAAATATTTGTTGAGTAAATATTTGTTATCTCTTTATTTCACTGGCTCCAAACTCCAGTTTGGAGTTAAATATCTTAAATATCTCAGCTCCCTTTGTCTAATAATCTTGCTACATTCCTGCTCCGGTGTGGGCTGGGCCCCTCTCTTGCCCAAGGATATCCGGTTGTCTCTGGTGAGAATTCCCCCCTCTAGGTGCACACTGTGTCTCTCCTCAGCCATAGCCCCAGTGAAGCAGCCCTGGCCTCATCACCCACACATGTGAAAAAAATGGTCACCCGGCCCAGGCTGGACAAGACAGAAATGGCAGTGGGCTGCATGAACTGAGAAGCCATCTGGGGCTCACAGGAGCAGCTTCAAAGCCTGCGCTGTAATACATATGTGTTGGGTAGCAGGCACTTTGGTTCCACCTCACTCAGAGTGCTTATATGTTCCTTTCATCTCACTTTAGACCCTATGGTTGTAGATGACAGGAAGTGAGATGTTCAGACCTTTGGGGTTGTGGTTAATGCCTTCTGGTTGGAATCCCAAGTCTGCTTACTTCCTTCCAGACTTGTGGAAAGTGAAGGCTATTTGTAGTCGAGCAGCGGTCATTTTCTGTCCTTCACGCCTTGCTTGCTTGGGGCCCTCCAGAGAAGTCATGCAATATGACACTGGTGGCTGTTTAAGTCTCATGACTTTTTTTTTTTTCACCACAATCCAGGTAGGGGGATTATAAATAAATACACAGTGAAGAAGATTAAAGTCACAATGGCCAGATTTGCATACTTCCCTAAAGGATGAGCAGAAGTTTGAGATTTATCTCACTGGGAGTGGGCCATCCTCTCCTCCCCACTAAGACTAAGACCACTAAGACTAAAAAGACTTGCGACTAAGACCACAGATTATCAAGCAAGGTTAATGATGACACCCATATACCCTTGTTACTACTGGGTCAATATTACCTAAGTGACTATACTTGTAATCTTATTAGTTGATTATAGTTTTTACCCACATTGTACCACCAGTAGTGATGAAATGGAAAAAAAATCCGAAAGACAGAGCAGAGACTGACAGTCTCAAAGCTTGGAAGAAGTTTAGCTTTGCTAAACCCACAAAGGTGCCTGGAAGATGAACTGTTGAAACACAGCTGCCTACCTCCCTATGTCTTAAAGATAAATTGTAAAAACAACATTTACCTCCACCTCCCTACCCCTTGCTAAGTTCTGCTTCTGCAAAATTCTACTTGCTCTGCCACCCTGGCTACAGAATGGATAAATATGAGAACAAACGGAGGGCCAGGGATTTAGCTCAGTGATTCTGCTGCCAGCCTTGAAAGCGTAAGGTCCGGAGTTTAATCCCCGGTGCTCCCCCCCGCCCCAAAAATATATGAGAACAAATGGAGAAACAGGGCTCAGACTCTGGAGGGTGACTTCTGCTGGGCTCGCTAGCAATAATAAACCTGCTTTTCCCTTCGATTCTCTGAGGGCTGCTCTCTTCCTCGGTCTGCCTGCCCTCTGAATGCCACTTTAGTGACTTTGCTCTGTAAAACTTCCTTTGACCACCCTCTGAGAAGAGCCGCCTAGGACAGTTGCCAGCATGGGCAATCGGAGGACACTGGCCACATCTGTGGGACTTGACTGACTTTGGTAAAAGCACTCTTTCTGAGCCCAAAATGCCATGATAGCAGAAGAGACAGGAGGCTGAGACTCCTCAGATGGGGCAAGGTTCTTCCTACTCCACTTTGTCTACCCCAAAACCTAACCGGCTGCGTCTGCAGTGACCCCACTTCAGTTTCATCCCAGGTTCCTGCCAGCCTGTTGTCTGAGCCCTGGTGCCTGTGAATACTAATAAAATGTGGGTGCTTTTTTTCCTTAAAAAAAAAATCTTCCTTTGAGAAGTGGGCTCCCTGACAACCCATTTGGGACCCTCCTGTCTCCCACGAGCTATTCTTTTTTTTTTTTTTTTTTTTTTTTGGTATGGGGGATTGAACTCAAGACGTTTTGAGGCAGGTGCAGTGCCACTGAGCTAAATCCCCAGCCCCCAGGAGCTATTTTTTTTTTTTTTTTGGTACCAAGGGTCGGATTTGGGACCTTGCACTTGCGAGGCAGGCAGGAGAACCACTGAGCTAAATCTCCAGCCCACCCCCAGGAGCTATTCTTATTCCTCATTCTTATTCTCCAATAAATTTTCCTCTTTAAAATAAAACATAGGCAAGGAGTTTTCTCCAACTTCATCAGAAGCCTGGTTCTTTCACCCTGCATCATACCACCCCCACCAAAGGGTCTTTCTTTCATTTCAGAAGTATAGAGTGCAAGTGACAAAAGCAGCCAGAATACTGCCTTGAACTATGACCAAGTCCTGTCTATTCGTCAACTTTTACTGTATACCAGGTAAGGTCAGGCCTAAGAGCTACACAGCCCCCTCACTGTGCTAGCTTCAGTCTTCCCAGTGTACCTACTTTGCAATAAGTTGCCAACATTTTTTAAATGGGAGATTCTCTGTGAAAATGAGATTTCCAGATGTTCTTGAAAAATTCATCTGTCATGACGAAGTGGTCCTTCCCACAGGCCTCTCTTCAGCGGGAGATGGGGTGGCAAATGCCCTCTGCAGACTGGGCAATGCCCTCCTGAGATCCACTTACCTCTCCCTACCTCAACAGTTTCTTTTCCTGCCTAACTTTTCCCAGGCCTTTGTGTGTACTACCCACTCATTCAGTGGTGGTGAACCTATGGCAAGTGTGTCATAGTGGGCTATTTGTATCACTGTAAGCTCTCAAAGGTTCACCATCACTGCTACCTTTTAGACAACTAATAGTTTTACTTTCTTTTTTTTTCTTTTTGGTACCGGGGATTGAACTCGGGTCCTTCCGCTTTCGAGGCAGGCGGCGAAACCACTGAGCTAGATCCCCAGCCCCGAGACAACTAATAGTTGCTTAGTTATCCTGACTATGAGAAGATGAACAAGATTGAGCCTTTGAATTTACTCACTGGGCAGTGGAATAGGGTTTTTGAGGAGAGGAGGCAGGCAGTTCACACAGAGGGAACTCCAGCATGAGCAGTGAAGACAGGCAAGCGAATGCACGAGGACTGTAAGGCCTTGAGTATCTTCCAAGTGGGCAAATCCACCATCTTACCCAGTTCTAACCAGCAGACATGGGACTGAATTACCTAACAATTCACAACACAGAACTTGACCCACAGGAAGCTGAAAGGAATGTGCTCATCCTTTGGAATCACACAGACCCATGTTCAATTCCTTCCACCTCGATAAAACAGTGCTCTTCTCAGGTCTCCTTAAAACTCAGTTATGGCCTGGCATGGTGGAGCGCGCCTATAATCCCAGCACTTGGGAGGCTGAGGCAGGAGGATCTCAGCAAGTTCGAGGACAGCCTGGGCTATACAGTGAGTTCAAGGCCAACCTGAATTACATAAGTGAAACACTGCCCGAAGGCAAACACCAAAAACAAAAATCAAACAAACAACCAAAACCAGAAAACCAGAGCCATGAAGACCAGACTTACAGTTTGACTGTGAGAATTAAACGAGTGTGTGCTCAGGCCCGGCCTCGCACAATTCCTGGCACATAGCAGGGGCGCTACAATAGACTGTCCCTAACGGACCACACCAGGCACGTAGCAGGGGCTAGATTAACACATGTAGTATAAACCCGGCAGCGACGAGAGGCGCCTGGGTTATCCGAGATGCCGCGGGTGGGTCCGCGCACCGCTCCCAGTTCCAGTCTCGAACCTCTGACCGGAAGGGGCTCCGCAGCGCGCGTGCGCAGACTGTGGTTCTCGCTGGGCTCACGGGGCACGTGGGGCCAGGGCCCTGACCTGCGCGTGCGCAGATGATCTGGCGGGCGGTTGCGCGGCAAGATCGCTTGAGCTAGCTGGAGAGCAGGTGACGGTCCGCGGTTCTCTGGCTCCAGCCTTCGTTCAAGGTTGGCTCCCGCCCTTTTGAGGGAGCAGGTCTTAGCGGGCAGCCCCGCCGCAGCCACCTTTCTGAGGCGCGGAGAGCCCCTAGGCAGTGTGTGAGACAGGCTGGCCGAGCTCCTTGGGGCTGAGGTAACTGCACCCGGCGGCCGGGGCTCCCGCCATGTCGGCTTTGCGATTCTTTCCTCTGCAGCTGCAATACCCCCGCGCTCCTCAGGTCATCTCTTCAGCACCGGGCTGCCCAGCACTGCCGAGGGCCGGTCTGTGTCGCGGGTAGCAGCAGGGAGGGCGCGAGGGAGGAGAGGACTGTGGGCTGGCGGTCCGGACCCCTCCCGGCGGTGACCAGCACAGAGACCACAAGTCCTGGCCACCCAGGGCGGTCTTGCCCCTACATCCGCCCGCCACTCCGCCTGTGGCAGCCTCTCCATCTCCCCTCAGCCTGCCCCTGCAGGGAAGGCTACCCGTACAAAACTGTTCATTTGGGTCCGTAGCCACCCTTACACCCAAGCTTAGCAGTTACCATGAAAACAAGACTTCTCCCATCGCAGCATTTCCTGGATTTCCTGTCACATCGTGTCTTAATGATTTGAATGAATTTCTGGCTTTCAGATGCCTGGTTGCACCTTGGAAGCCTTGGAAGTAAATAGTTGAGTCATAGCACTCAGTGCTTCTCCTTTTTATTTTTTGATTTTGGTTTTGGGTCGTGTGTGTGTGTATCTGGACTCAAACTCAGGACCTTGCCCTTGCCAGGAAGCCACTGTGCTAATGAGATACATTCCCGGCCCTCCCTGGTTTTGTTTCTTTTGAGGTATGTACCTGAGGCTGGCCTTGAGCTCACTGCCTCGGCCTCCTGAATGCTGGGATGGGGAGGGGGCACTCCCATCTAGTGCTTCTTGAATCTTGGTGTCTAGGAAAGTGGACAGAAAGATGTGAGCAGGTATACTTGGGCTGGACATCTGTGACTTTTCTGAACTCTAGTTTCTTCCTTTATGCACATGCAGGTAATAAACCCACCACAATTCCAACAATGTATGATAATCTCACTGGCACCACAAAGTTGAGCATATTCAAAAGTAGGCTCAGCATCTTCTCTCAAAAATGTATTTTCTAAGGCTCCTCTCTTCAGAATGGAGCACTTGTATCTCTTCAATTAGTTGCTCAAGCAACTGGGAGTCATCCTTGGCTGTCCTGTCATCATTCCATCAAGTCACCAAGTCACCGGCATCTTCCAAATCAACCCATTTCCTACATCTCCACTATGCTCAACTTCTGCCTGGAAACCATGAAGAAGTCTCCTAGCTGGTCCCCTTTCATTTGTTCTTGTTTGAGTTGTCTCTCACAACCAGAGGAATTTATTTTTAAACTCACAGCTATCTGGTAATATAATTTTAAAAATTATTATACTTTCAGTGTATTCCTACTTCTCTTAGGATAGACTCTACAATCCATAATTGATTTATATGGAAACACTTTTCCATTCTCTGTACTTTCTCTGTAGATGATCTTATCCATTCCAGTATCTTCAAATACCATCTAAACACTGATGACTCAGATTTATATTTCCATCCCTGAGCTTGCTTCCTCACCATAACTTGGATGTCTAATAGGCATCTCAGACTTAACCAAAACAGAACTATCAATTCTGCTTCCCTGATCTCTTTTCTTAAAATCCTTTCCCATATCAATAAAGAATATGTATCATTGTCTAATTGCTAAGAGCCATCCTTGATTCCCTCAATCAGATATACCTCAATTCCAGTTACTCACTAACTACTAAAACTCCAAATCCAAATCAGCGCTATTTTTTCCTGAAGTACTATAGCAATTTATTTTGGTTTTGGAGACAGGGTCTCATTATGTAGTTCAGTCTGAACTTGAACTCACTGTGTAGCCCTGACAGGCCTCAGACTTGCTGAGATCTCCTGCCTCAGCCTCCTGAGTGCTATGATTACAAGCATGAGCCTCTATACTCAGCAGTAGCCTCATTCTTTTTTTAAAAATAACTTGATTATTAAACACACACACATACAAAAATTAAAACCATTCAAAGAAGAACAATGCAAGGGGAAAAAAAAGTACAATAATATTCAAATACAGTAGAACTCAACCAAAACAAAACTGAAAAGCACTTAAACATTTTTCCACATAACTTAAAAAAGCATCTCAAGCACCAACAAGACACCAGACGATGTGATTTGTTTCAGAAAGATCCCCAAAACCAACACTGAACAAATAGTGGTCTGGAAAAAAACTCCGGTTAGCTAGCAGACTCCACATAAGCCAAGCTTCTCCCTAATTTAAATTTCAATGCAGTCATATGACACGCGATGGAAACACAATCCAAGAAATATGTTATGAGGCCATTTCATCCGTGTGTATCCTTAATTACACTTTAAGTTTCTCACACCAGAGAAACTATTCGGTATTTACACATGTGGGTCCTGTTTATTTCACTCAAGAGAATGGCCTCAATGTGCATCCATTTAGCTATAAATGTCTCTAGTTTCTCTTTCTTTATGGCTGAGTAGTACTCCATTTATTTATTTATTTTTGTATTTTTGTATTTTTTTGGGTACCGGGGATCGAACTTGGGTCCTTGCACTTGTGCAGCAGGCAGCGAAACCACTGAGCTAAACCCCCGGCCCAGTACTCCATTTTATAAAAAAACCCACATATTCTTTATCCAGCTCCCAGTTGATGGGCACTTGGGCTGTTTCCAAGCTTTCACTATTATGAACTGTGCTGCTATAAACATGGGTGCACATATATCAGTGTGGTATGATTCTTTTAATTGTTTGGGGAAGATACCCAGCAGGGGGATAGCTGGGTCGAATGGGACCTTTCAGCCTAATTCTTTGAGGTATCTCCATACTGATTTCCACAGTGGTTGCACCAGTCTGCACTCCCACCAACAATGGAGAAGGGATCCTTTCTCCCCA